GGCCGGGGGGGCCGGGCGGGAAGCTTTTAGCTCCTCCCGCTGAGCCCGCCCTGCCCGCCGGGGTCAGCAGCTGGCGGCCTTTGCGCGGAGTCAGGCCAGGCGGGCAGCTCTTCTTTTGCCCCACGGGGCAGCGGGCGCCGGCGTGTGCAGAGCCTCCCTTCGCGTGTCCCGCGCAGCTCTTCATTCGCAGACACGGAGGGTGCCTCTCCCTTTGCCCGCAGGGAGGAAGGCGGCCCTCGGTTGGAGCCGACGATCCCTTTTGGTGTCTTGGAGCTTTTCCCTGCCCTAAGGAGAGCCTTTGGAGGAAGTTCCGCCGCGAGGGCCTCTTCTCACCCCTCCCCTGCACAACCTGTGCAAGCAGAGCATTGACTGGCTTTACAGCTGCTTTTTTTTTAACGGGTCAGCAGCTGGCGGCCTTTGCACAGAGTCAGGCCACCGCGATAACCCTCCTTGCCAGGCAGGAGCTCCTATAATCAGCATAAACACAGCATTGGTTGGTTTCTTAGAGCTTTTGATGCCTCTGTTCAGAGCCAGGCTGCAAGGGATCTGCAGCAGGCACTCCCAGCTGATGCCTTCAGCTTTTTTTTCCTGGTCGGGGACTGGCAGCCTTCACAGGCAATCAGGCTGCCGGGCTTTTGCCTCACGCCTCCAATTCTGGGTTTTAATCTCTGTGTTTTATGGTGCATTTCGATTCTTTTAAGATTGGTGATCTTAAGGTGATCACGGTCTGTGGGAAGCAAGTCTGGGAGACGCTGATTTTGAAGGGCCGCGGACGCATTTTAAAACTGAATAAATAACGAGCAGGCGGTCGGTTTGGTCTTTGGCCTTCATTTCAGGGCTGCTGCAACTTGCAGCCTTTTCAGAGTTCAAGTGCTTTGACTCATTGATACCACTCTGTACATGCACACGCACAGCACACACAGAGATATTTACCCAGAAACAAAGATGGATGTGAAGGAAACGACAACTCTGGCCTGAAGGACCTCAAATTCATAGCAAGATAAGTGAGTTGATTCAGAGCCCCACCTGGATCGGCAGCAACCATTTCTTCTGCACGTACAAATAGAAGCAACTCCTTTCTTTGCTGGGCTGGTGCAAAAATGAGGATAATGCAGCATCCTGTTCCTTGTGATGGCTTAGAAGGAGAGGAGCTTTGCAGGTGCAGTTTGCTTTGCACACAGGAGTGCAGAAAGCGACCCTCTTGGAAGGCCTTTGGTTCACCAGCCAGTCTGTGCCCCATTTTTCCTGCACAGTGTTATAACTGAAGAGGGGCAGGGACCACACTTGAGACACTCAGACCATTGTAGAAGGCACAGTCCAACAGGGAACAATGGTATTTGTGAAGAGATAAAGTGGTGTTTCCCAACCTTGGCAAGTTTAAGATGGGCGGACTTCCCATGCTGGCTGGGGAATTCTGGGAGTTGAAGTCCACCCATCTTAAACTTGCCAAGGTTGAGAAACACTGGGATAAAGCATCTGCCCCGTAATAAGCAGCTCTTTTCCTCCTGCCTAGTTTTCACCATGGGCAACGTCCTGGCTGCCAGCTCTCCAGCGCCCCCTCCTGTGGTGTCAGGGCCAGGCTCTGGCTTAGTATCAGTGCCACCGGGTTTCTCCATGCCTCCCGTCACTGGACTGGTTCCCCCCACGCAAGATCGCAGTGCAGAAGACAAGTGTGACCAGCTTCCTAACCCTGGCACCTTTGAGGAATGTCATCGTAAATGCAAAGGTAAATAGCTGCCCAACATCGTGCAGTGGAACCACTGCAGCCATCACAACTTTACCTGTCCTGGGTACTTTCCAGATGCATGGGCCTCCACTCCCAGAATCCTTGGCAGCGGCGAGTATGTTTGGGAATTCTGGGAGCGGAAGTCCACACATCTCAAGAGCGTCAAGGATTTGAAAGGGTGATCTGTTTTGTGAGGTTCCTGTGCTTCATACAAAGCTGGGGAAGAAAACCTGTATGTGTCAGTCCTTTGAGGTCACCCAGGTCCGGAAACAGATACCACAAGGACTACTGGACCCTACTTGATTATTGTAGAGTATAACAACAGAATCTTGAAAGCTTCCAGACCTTCCCTCAACCTCCTCATCTAGTATACAGAATCAAGTTGGGATTATTCTGAGTCTCTCTCTCTCAAGCTCCCAGGGCTGAGGTGTTGTTTATTGTCTCTCTAATCTGCTGACGGCTCTTGCATTCCTTCGCCAACATTATCTCTGCCTCCTTCTACAGCAGTGTTTCTCAACCTCAGCCACTTTAAGATGTGTGGACTTCAACACCCAGAATTCCCCAGCCAGCATTCTGCCTGGGGAATTCTGGACATTGAAGTCCGCACATCTTAAAGTGGCTGAGGTTGAGGTTGAGAAACACTGCTCCACAATATGCTTGTCTGATGTAGATAGATTTAGAAATTTCCAGATTGGTAATTCATCATGCAAGGTGCATTTTTTAGAGCATGCTTCTGGGATATTGGCAGGTGTTCTGTACATGTGCATGGACCGTAGGGTGCTTTCTTCAGTTATACAGCATATAGTTATCTCCTTTCTTGATTCCATCACGGAACTGAAAGCAGCACTAAGCGAATTCAGGCTCCTGGCATGCCTTCAAATTATGCCCCAGGACTGTGGGAGTAATATGGAAGGAAAAAAGCACTCTGAAGGTTCACACTTCTCCAGACTGTGAGAACCCCAGGTTATGTTTTGAAAGGTGAAGCTCCTGTGTTTGATTGCCATGCAGGACAACTTCAGAAAATCTTTCAGGTGTATGTAAGCAGAGGGAGGTCACCTGGTAGTTTTCTGCTGTTCTGGGCTTCAGCTCCCATTAGCCTCAGCCAGCATGACAAGAGATTGTGGAACTGGGTCTAAAATACCTGAAGAACTCTAGTTGGTTCACCTGGTCAGTTCAGCTAATGGTGAGATTTATGTAGGATAGGCATTTCAGCAAATGTAATTTTGTAATTTTAATTGATTTTAACTGTTTCGTAAACCACCCAGAGTCATTGAGCAAGATGGACAGTGACAAATTCGATATATAGAATAATTCAATATATCCGGTTTCCACTAACTCTTCTTTTATTCTTCTCTCTAGTCTTAACTAATATCTGTTTTTTGAAAGAAAGGTGCTCAGTAGGAGAAAAACAACCATTTATAGCAATCTCCCTCTTCATTTCTTGCTCTTGCAGAATTGTTCCCTATTCAAATGGAGGGGGTGAAATTGACAGTAAACAAAGGTCTCAGCAATCACTTCCAGGTAAGAGTGTGAATATGCCGGCTCTTTCGCTTGGCAAATCAGTGGTAGAGTTGGGCAACCAGTAGCCCTCCAGATGTTCGTTTCCATCTCCCAACAATCCAGTTGCTTGGCAGATGTATATGGTGCAATATCTGGAGGCCTATGGCTCCCAGCGCCTGGAGGAAGGATTAATTTATTTCTATATATTCATCCAGCTTTTGAATGGCTTGCTTTCCTTGAAATGGATTGCATGCAATAAATTATCCTCATAAACTCAGCAAAAATGCAGCAATCTTAAGTGTCTTCAAAACTCCCTGACTCCTTCCTCTCTCTTAATATTTCATTTCCATCTAGGCTTTTGACCATGGTCCTCCAACTTAACGAGCTCCATATCTCATCAGCTCTAGCCAGCACAACTAGGGGTGAGGGATGATAGGTTTTGTAGTCTACCTCTGGAGGGCCATGCATTGCCCATTTCTGCTTTCTGGGTTCTACCTTTTCACTCCACAACTGGGAATAACGTGGAGTGGGCTCCTGTGCACGTTTACTGGAAAACAAGTGAATTTAGGTTGGGTTACTCTCAAGTAAGTATTCACATGTCACCCATAAGTTCAAAACAGAGGTGATGGTCGTGTTGCAGAGAGGCCCCGTTTTTTTCCTAATTTTTCCTTATTTTACACTTCACCATTTTTTTGGAAACAAGTCACAAAGGAATTGGCAAACTCTGAGGTAGACTGGGGTGACACTGCTGTGAGAGAGTCGTATTTCCAGTAAGTTTGCTGGGGTCTTCTGTGCTGCTCCTTTTGGGTGCATCAGCTTAATTTATAAGCACGCTCAGCTTCAAGGACCTTGCTGTGTGGTCGCCTGGTGGTGTTTCTCACTCGCCACAGCTGCTCTGGCGCACGCCTGTTTAGAAGCCTGCTTCTAGATGTACGTTTTGTGACCTGGAGGGCCCCTGGTGCAATTCACACCCTTGTTTCCTTCCTCAGGTCAATCACACAGTGGCTCTCAGCACGGTTGGCGACTCCAATTACCGCTTCGGGGCGACGTACGTTGGGACAAAGCAGCTAAGCCCCACAGAGGTACATTTATATAAAACCTAGGCAGGACATGATTTATGCTACTTCGATACATCTTGAGCAGTTGAACTGTTGTGTCTTAGTTGGGTGTCTGTGTTCCCTTGTGCTAAGATCTGTTTTTTCCAGTGTTCACTGTTTATGTGCTAAGCCTTTGGAACAGTGTTTCTCAGCTGCTGTCCCTTGAAGATGTGTGGACTTCAACTCCCAGAATCTGGCTGGGGAATTCTGGGATTTGAAGTCCACACATCTTCAAGTGGCCAAGGTTGAGAAACATCGCTTTAGAGGCTGGGTGGGTGACTAGCAAAACAAGAAACAGCCTTAGCAGATCCTGCACGGAGCTGGCAGTTGGGCTAAATGTTCTCTGAGTTTCCTTCCAGCTCTGACATTCTGTGAAACTTTAGATGCAGCACCAGGTTGTATAGTAATCTTCCTCGGATCCTTCTGTATAAAAGAATAAATGGGTAAAGTACAAATAGTAAAATACAAACAAATATACAAGAGGTCTAAAATGTCACAGAGATTGTTTTCCAACCTCTTAATCAGTTATGAAATTATAAAACGCTTTAAAAACACACACAAATAATGATTATTAAGCTTTAAGCTAAGGTTACCTATTAGAAAGCACGGTTAATGCAGTATAAATCACTGACTAAAACGATCAGGTATAGTCAATGGAATCTGTACCAGGAACCTAATTTCTGACAAAGCTGGAAAACCCACACTTTGAATCAGGGTCAGAATTGGGCATATTTAACTCTGTGCTGAGTGATGATCCATCACAGTCTTACCCTCCTTTCACTGCTGTTTGTTGTTGTTTTCTTGCTCCTGTTAATTTGGCTTTCATAATTGTATTGCATTACGAGCATGGTAACTCAGGTGCTAGAGGGAGATGCCTTAGACCCCATCCTGGAGAAAGGTGGGTCATACTGATTGTAAATCACTCTGCAGTGAGATGGCCGGTGACAAATTTGAAACATAAATCAATGAAATGAATAAATATTCTGCTTCTTTTTCTCAGGCCTTCCCGGTGCTAGTGGGTGACATGGACAATAGCGGCAGTCTTAATGCACAGATTATTCACCAGCTCACAAATAAAATCCGGTCCAAAGTGGTCCTTCAGGTACATGTCCTTGGGGCTGACACGCGTCTCCTGTTCCCCGTAAAATCTAGCCACCGTCGTCTCTTCCAGAAACGCAGAGTTAACGTTGAATCTGTCCCTTCTAAGCCACAAGGAACATTCACTAGGATTGTGTGTTGCTTTGAGTTGTAGTCAGGTGTTACCTTCCATTTCCAAAACGCCTTTTGGGAATCGAATGCAAACATTGCACAGTTGTGAGATCCAGTGTTGAAATGTCTGTGGCAAGACGCCTAATTGGCACCCCCTGCTGGTCAATGTTCAGTACCTGCCAAATAAGCATTTTTAACATTTATCAGAGGTTCGTGTACAAGGGCTTGATATCTGCATTCTCTTTGCCTTTTATTTTATGGTTGCATTTTAATGGCACGTTTTTGGAAAAACAAAACAAACAAGAAAAATCTTTTGATGTTTGCCGCCCTGAGTATCCCTGAATGCAAAGCAGACTGTAAATCCAACTAAAATCATTCATTTGCAAGATTGAGCTAAAGATATCAAAGGGTTCCTCTATAGCTGCAAACGTCCTTCTTCTGCATCTCCTCTTGAATGGGAGAGGGGCAGCCATTTTTTAGCAGGATTTTGGCCCAGGCCTGGACTATTTTTACTGAGGTTCTGCCAGCGGGGTTCTCCTTTCGAGTCCTTCTCTTCGGTTGGGTTCTCCTTCCTTAGCAAGGGGGCACCACTGCTTAGTACAGGGGAGCCGTTTTGCTAGAACTCTGATCGCAACTCGCTTCAAGGGGCTAGACAAGTATTAAAACGTAGATGAATGTTTGTTTATGCTCTCCTTTGTCTTCCAGACGCAGCAAGCCAAGTTTGTGAACTGGCAAGTGGACAGTGAATACCGGGGCACAGATTTCACTGCTGCTGTCACGCTAGGGAACCCCGATATTTTAGTAGGTTCAGGTGAGCAGATCCCCTCCCTCCCCAGATTCCTTTCTCTTGCTGGCGAGAAGACTTCCTGCTCAGCCTGGCCTTTGACTCCTGGCAGGGCTGTCGGGGGGGGGGGTTCCACATAAGTGGTGCTGATCAGCCCCCTGCTGTGTTCCGCAGGGATCCTGGTGGCACATTACCTACAGAGCGTCACGCCGTGCCTGGCGCTGGGCGCGGAGCTGGTGTACCATCGGCGTCCAGGTGAAGAGGGCACTGTCATGTCACTCGCTGGGAAGTACACAGGTACCAACAAAATTCTTTGGTCTTTGGATGAACCCAGCCAATTGTTTGGGGCTTTGGTGGTTCAGTCAACCCTGGATATATTTGTGGCTGAGTGGGATAGAAGAACCTGGCAGCTGGGTGGCAGATTGGATGTCTCTGAGAGGGTGGGGTGGGGTGGGGTGGTGGTGAAGATATTCAAGCCCCCCGGTAGCCAAGGGGACACTGTGAGTGATGTTGGGCCAGTCTCTCTCAATCTTAGCCCAATCTACCTGATAGGGTTGCTATTCCAGGGAGCAATATGTGCCCCACCCAGAGCTCCTGAACAAGAAGTTGGATGGACACCTAGCAAATAAATAAGCCCACAAGGAAACTGTGAAGACCACAGCTGGCCCTCTGACCTCAGTCGTCCCTCTGAGATGCAGATGTTGTTTTATGTCAATGCCATTCAGGATGAGTCCTGTGAGGACTGCGGGAGGGCTCTGTGTGGTGGGAGCAAGACAAGTCTTGGGGATTCTTGAGCCCACAAGGGAGACCTTCTTCTTTTTCTGGCCTTCACAGCACCAAACTGGATTGCGACTCTGACAGTAGGACAGGCTGGAGCACATGCCACGTATTACCACAAAGCTAGTGACCAGGTCAGTTTTTAGTTTTTATTTTATTCATTCATCAAATTTGCCACTGCCCGTCTCATTGAAATGACTCTGGGTGGTTCACAGCAAAGATAAAATTCATTAAAATACAACATAAAACAGTCCTAATAATAAATAAATAGCTTCCAAGAGAGTTGGGGAGTTGGCGGATAATTCAAGGGAGCGTCGTCAGGGTGCTAACCACTCCCAAGGATGGTTAGAGCCCATATCGCCCCATGCACATTGGCAGAGCCGGGTCTTTAAACCTTTTCGGAAAGCCAGGAGGGTAGGGGCCTGCCACACCTCTGGGGGGAGAATATTCCAAAGGGCGCGGGCAACAACAGAGAACTCTCCTCCTGGGCCCCGCCAGCCAGCATTCTCTCACTGATGGGGTCTGCAACATGCCCTCTCTGGCAGTTGCCTTTGGGAGACGACTTGTGGAACACGGTGGAAGCCACTGGGCGCCTTCTCTCCTTCTGCGATTCTCTCCCCTCCTCTCTTCCTGCCCCCATTTCTTTCAATCTTGTTTCCCCTTCCTCCATGGCTGGGGTAACCTGTAATTGAAATTCACCATGCCTGTTGGTCTGAAGCAATTGGTCTTGGGGCTGGCAAGGGTGTCTTTTTTAGCTGAAGGTACTGTGCAGTGGGGCAGGGCTGCAGTGGGGCCCAGGCGCCACCCACCTGGCTCTCATCTGTTCTCTCTGCTCCGGTTCTCCAGTTGCAGGTGGGGGTGGAATTTGAAGCCAGCACCCGCATGCAGGACACGAGTGCAACATTTGGGTACCAGCTGGATCTCCCCAAAGCCAACCTCCTTTTCAGAGGTATGGAACTCTTGAATTTATCTCTTGGTGTGTAGTTTCTTAAATAAGAGTTAAATGAAACGAAACAGTGATTACTTGCATTATTCCTTACATTGGTTCAAAAATTCAATAAATACAATGTTTTAAAAATGGAATCCATCTCCATTCCAGTTCAGGTGAGGTTTTAAAGCAGAGATCCACAAACTGAAGCTTCTGCAGCTACTCCCGATGTCACCAACTCATAACGTTTAGTATGACAGAAGCTGAGCGTTATTAAATACATGATTGGGGGGTAATGATATGAATTAATTAAGGAATTAAATTGAACTACACACGTATGGTAAAATGCCGGTTTTACAACAAATGTTGTCCGTTATACGGAAGAAGAATCCAAACTCAGGGGGATCCCCAATGGTGCGATCAAAGCTCCTGCTTTTTTATGCATGTTGCGTGTGTCAAGCACATAAAAACCAGGCAAAGCTTCGATCGCGCTGTTGCAGCCACCATCAATCAATCAAAATTCATTTATGGTCCAGATCCATACCCAATAGAAGACCAGCATATACCGTACAATATCTATAGAAGAAAATTTTAAAAATTGCAAGAAATTCCTAAAGTAGCTGACAGTTAAGAGCATGGAGGAGGAACCAGACAGTTTCTAACAGCCATAGCTGTTGATAAAAATTGTGCAACCTTCTTAGAGGTTTCTGAAGCGTGGTCACCCAGGAGAAGGGTAACAGCCTCCTGGTCAAAGAGAAATTAGAATTATTAACAATTGGGAGTATTAAAACTGATCGCCATTGGGTGTACAGTGGACATTTTAATAGTGAATGGGAGACAGATTCTACCTCTGAGTCTGAACAGTAAGAAATTCGGCTTTCATATGGGACGCTACTGGTTATATATCTACTGGTTCTTGCCCTAATAGGTAGCGCCCAAATTTGGGCCAAAGTAAATAGTCTCCTATATGGAGCCTATAAGATGTGTGCATCCACCATCTTGACTTTTTTGGCTGTACTCAGTAGACACCCCTGGGTTTAGGGCATGTTTGTTTAAGGGGAAGGGTGGGGAGAGACCAGCACCCTGAGAGTCAAGCTTGGCTTTTGAGGGCAGGGGGGCACTGCTCAAAGAAGATCCCCCATCAAACACACGTTCCTTCCTTTTTTGGGGGGCGCCCATCTCCCCGCATCTTTTTTTACTCTGATTCCTCTCCCTCTTCAGGCTCCATCGACAGCAACTGGATCGTGGGGGCTGCCTTGGAAAAGAAGCTGATTCCGCTGCCCCTTACGTTAGCTATGGGTGCCTTCCTGAATCACCGCAAGAACAAATTCCAGTGCGGCTTTGGCCTCACCATTGGTTAAATTGCCCTTCTTCTTCCTCCTCCTCCTCCTCCTCCTC